AATTTATTAATCTTTTGAACTTGAATTTGATAAATCGATTAGTTCCTTCATGAGACCGGTTCACCAGAATTTGTAACGAACTCTTCTAATATTGATTGAACCAATTTAAGTAAGAAGAGACAATCCTGTACTTCATTATTCAGTACTGTCACTTCTAAATTATTGAGCATGTCCTATGGACTAAATATTCATGTTGATATTAAGTGGTACAGTTTAACAATGTACGCAAGCTCGGAGATACCGCGTGGTGTACCTTTAAACCATTTCCTGTACGTCAGAAACATCAACGATATTTTTTTCAAACTAAATGCTAAACATTTGTATTTCAATTGGATTTACTGATAAAACGGTTTAAGCCTTGAAGGAGTTCTTGCTTGTACGTAAAGATGCACGCTTCACCCAAGTGTTTTGTCTCTTCAGAGATTTTTTTGAGGCCCGCTTTACATAAAGAATCATTGATTGGTGTATTGATTATGTATTTTAATACAAGATTCGGGTATCAGAAAATGGATTTTTTTCAAAAATTTAACGAATTAAATTCGCAGCGAACAAAAATGTGATCCGTTTGATGACCTGAAGCATGCGCGACGCGTGCGACGTACTACGCGAAAACGCGACAGTTAATCGTAGGAAAATTCAAATACGTAATGATCCTTTGCCGGTCCTAAGGAGTAGACGTAATGTGCGTATATTTACTTTAGTACCCACCTGTTGCCGTAACCCAGTTTCTTACATATACCAACCGGAAAGTTTTTCAACTTTCCAAGGATTCCAGATATTCCCTGCCTTAATGGTACGTCCGTTAAAGAGTAGCCGAATTAAAAAAGGATGTTACCTATAACCGTGCGTTTACGCAAGACCATACGCGAGTAAATGCGCACTGTTGTTAGTATGTATTATATGTATAGACGAGAAAAAATAAAGAATAAATAATAATTGATGCTTAAGAACATTACAGGGTCCATTAAATATTTTACCATTAGTATCTGTCTGAGCATGCCGATTTGGTATTTGCATACAATCGTTGCGATAATGGTAGATACACGATAAACAATCTAAGGTAAACGATCACGTTGCGAAATGCTTTCAATTGCTACGGGATCATGTATACAATGTTCCTCTCGTGAACATGCGCAACTACCATTATAAATTTCTTTTCATACTAAACGTTCTTTTGTAAAACACTTGTACGTTTAAGTCACTTTGACAAGTCATGGATTGATTTTAGAAACAATTACATATTGCCGGACTTGAAAAATTCTAGTTTAATTACACAGGAGTGATGAGCATATTGCAAAAAGTCTTATAATATTTGTATATTATGCACCTTTATAAATAGGTCATTTGACAAATAAATGAACGTGAAAATGGATAAATGAATAGATGAAAGGATGGACAGATACACAGATAGATGGATAGATAGATGTGTGTATAGATAGATAGATAGATAGATAGATAGATAGATAGATAGATAGATAGATAGATAGACAGATAGTTGGTAAAAGAGAAAGAAAGAGGGGCATGGCGCGACGCGTCATTGCACGTGCACGTGCATTGATACCGATATTTATGCCCGCCAGTTAATCATGTCAAAGTCGTTTGATTTGTCGTTGGCTTTTATGGAGGGGAATTAAAACGTTCATTTCGCCACAGACACTCGGCAACAGTGTGCTCGTCGTCCTGGTCGCGATGCCGGCGCTGCTGTTGCCGCGATTGCTCTATGAATTATTTTCTGGACAACCCTTGCCCGATGTAACAAAAGGGGAGGGCGTGCTTTTTGGAAAATTACAGTATCTCGTTTACGTCGGAAATTCGTACCTACCTGTGACGCGTTGTGTCTCTGTTGTGTTTCAACGTGAATCGGTGGAACTTGCGATCCGACACGAGGGATAAACGAAAGTATGAACAGACGATTCGGGATGAAATTCGAACGTTTCCATTCGGTGAATACATGCGAATCGTACGAACCGTCTATTTTTCATTCGAAACGAAAATACGATATTGTAAATTACGACGTTTAATTTTCCAATTAAACTCTATCGTCATTTTTTCTGGCTCGAATTATGGGGATTTTTATCATTCCATGTAATGACCTATTGTAAAGGAGAAGAAGATATTGTACCGATTAAACCATTTCATTTATTTTATTTGTATAATTTGTTGTGAAGTATTAATACTTCTTTCGATGGATTATATCCTAATTGCATTAATATTTATTAGATGGAAAACCAGAATTAATAGCTAACGAAGATATGTCGTAGATGTAAGACATGCCTGTTGCTAATAGAGAATGGCTACGAGAATTGTCAAGACGCGTGATCAAAGTTGGTAGATGGCTGGCTGGGCGAGATGGGAGTAAGGGAGACAGTCCCTTGCGTATCGACAGCCGTCCGTCAAGGTAGTCGGTGACACGCGAAGTCGAACGAGCCAGGAGAAAAACTCGGAAGAACCGGGAGTCCCAGTCTCTTTTCTCACCCCGTGGATTGGTCTACCGAGAATTCCGGGTATAGGAGGACAAGAGCGAGAGCGAGAGGCGGACAGTAAAAGGGGTCGCGAGAAAGGGACGAGGCCAGAGAAGGGGGTGGTAGAAAGATGGAAGGTGGAAAAGAGGAGGCAGTAGCAGTCGGCATCAGCTAGGTCCGCGCACTTCTATCACGTTGGGCGAACGGGCGGACAGCTCCGAGGCGATTTGTCTTTCATTTCGGGCTAATTTATTGCGCCAAGCAGCTCCCCTTTCTCTTTTCCTCTCTCCCTACCTTTCGTCTTCTGCCTCCCCCCTCTCTCTCTCTCACACACCGTTTCTCCTCTCTCGCGGCGTTTCTTACTTGCTTGCATTCCCACCACCCCTTCCTCCCTCCTCCGTGTGTGATTTCTGTTTCTTTCTCTCCTATTCTTTCTCCCCGTGTCTTCTCCCGTCTTTCCAGCACTATTCTCGACTCCGCACCATTCAACCACGCCCCACCCAACTAATGTCCCACATAAAACTTGGTATCAGCGATCCTCAAACGGGGATTTACAATCCCTTCAAGCGCCGCTGTCACG